CGAGCCGCTGCCGCCGCCTCTTGTCTGCGCTGGCGCTGGTCGGAGTTGTCACCCGGGACCAGGCTGGGCTTTCTTACCCTGTTTCATGTCTGTCATATTGCCTGGGAAACTTCCTCAGCCCAATGTGTCACTTTGAGCAAAGGGGGAGAAAAAAAAAAAAGAAAAAAAAGCCATTTCCTTTAATGTTTCAGCTGCTGGAAGACACAGCAGACAAGTTCCTCTTAAAATATAATTGCAACATCACTCCTTTAGAGGAAGCCAGACCTGGAACATAGGACCGCAGGGAAAGCACTTAATCTCTACTCCTTTTGTGTAATGTGAGAAAAGACTAGGCTTTTCTATGCCGTAGGACTCTCCATTGGGAGATTTAATGTCTTTTAAAGTATTCTGAGGCTTTTCAGAAAGATCTTAAGTGCAAATTGCTCCTGCTGTAAGGCTCTAATCCGATGAATTGAAAATGAGTTTGGGTATTTGAGGAGGCGGCTGTGCTGGGTTTTATTGTCGTTTTCTGTAGTAAACACAAATGCAACCTTACCAGTGCTGGACCTGGTTTGTCTGAAATTTGGGTGTATTCACTCAGTACCTGGTGGTTCTGACACACATTTCTGAAACTTGTGTATCCTTTCTACTATCTTTGCTTTGACTGACCTTGCTCAGTGGAATCCTTTGTAGTACTGGTACTTCCAAATCTTGTGTAACATCTGCCACCGCTATAGAAACAGATAATGTAGTTAGAGTTTTGGATGGCTATCTTGCTTCCTGTTTGGTTTTCCTCACAGAAATCTTTTTAGAACTAAGAGACTGAGATTAATCCTTTTTTTTTTTTTTTTTTTCCCCTCCTTCCAATTCAACAGATGCAGTTTATGTTGCTTTTTAGTCGCCAGGGGAAACTGAGACTCCAGAAGTGGTATGTCCCATTATCTGACAAAGAAAAGAAGAAAATCACAAGGGAACTTGTTCAAACAGTATTAGCCCGCAAACCGAAAATGTGCAGCTTCCTGGAATGGAGAGACCTGAAGATTGTCTACAAAAGGTTGTTCTGTCTCACTAATCTTGTAATTGCCATACATCACAAACAGTGTAATAAGTAGCAAGAAAATAATGAAGGTTGATTGTTGTTGTTGTTGTTGTTTTTTTTCCTTCCCTCTGCTGGTTATGGAGAAGACTGACTTTTCCCTTGAATCTAATTTGATAACCAAGTAGGAATCATTCATGTGTGGAAAATCACTCATGCGTTTATAAATGTGCTGAAGAAAAGAAATGAGGTTTCCTTCTACTTTCATAAGGAGTGGTGGTTCTTAGTTCTCTGTTTAGATTGACAATACATAAACGCATACAAATACGAAGCGTGTAAGATTTAATAGGTGATAAAGAAAAACTAAATTTTATAAACAGTGACTTGGGCAGTGACTTCATAAATTACTTGAAAATGTAACTTGCTTTTAAAGGCTCATAGAAATAATGAAGCCATTCTTTCAGAGTACCTAGTTTGTTTTTTTTGTTTGGTTTGTTTTTTGTTTGTTTGTTTTTTTGTTTTCCTGTGAATACAAAAAGGCATTTCTCCTAATTGAAGAAGTCATGGCTAGTTTTCTTTTGGTAGAAGTACTGTATAATTTTCTTTGCAGTAGTTTCATTTCTCAGTTGTTCCCTAACTTTTCTAGGAGTATTTGGCAAGTGTTTTTTAGCTTTGTGCTGATCTTTAGAATGTATTACAACATAGAGGTGTGAAAATAATTTTCGCCACAAATAGCAGTAATCCTCATCCTGATTTAGTAGGCTGCATCTCTTCCAGCTAAAGCTGGTGCTGCAAAACCTTGAGTTATCTCCTTTCCCTAGTTAGTTATAAACTTCAGAAGATTATGCATTCTTATTTCCTCTTTAAGATGGTAAATAATTTGCGCCCTATGGTAAATATTCTTGTATTCTTTCTGTAGGGAGGACAAAGAGAACTAGAGCTGAAATGAAGAGTTTGTAGCTCTTTTCCAGTGTACGTAATAGGTAGAATCAAAAAGGTTTAGATGTTTTAAGTCTGGGTTTCATATATACATTTGTGCATGTGACATCATGCATGTGAATGTTACCAGTCTATTTAATGCGTATAGTTCTTCAACACAAGGGGGAGGAACAATGCATAAGGCTGTGCTTAAAGAAAGCATACAGAGTTTTTTCTTCTGCCTCTTGATTTCCTAACAAAACTTCTTGTACATACCTGTAGACAAGCTTGCCCAAATGCTTTGTGTGCTTCCTTAAGGGATAATGCCTGCAAGTGCTCTTTCAGCTGGGCTTTTATGGGACTAGATTAGAAGAAAATTGGCAGGAGTAGGCCAGTCCATTTCCTTCCTCGCCCAGTCTTGAATGTCAGTAGCTGTTCTGGTGGTGAGTTGATTCTATGAAGCTGCTTTCCCTCCCTGTCTGTTTATTGCAGGTAACAACTACTTGTCATGTCTTTTTGTGTCTAGGGAACTGGTGGAAATTTGGGTATGACTGAGTTGCTGAAAGTTGTGGTGTTCGTGCATCTCAGTAGTGTGCTGTGGGTCCTGTGGTCAAGGAGAATGAAGAAATTTGCTGGGAGGTGTATCTAGACCATTTTGGGCTTGATATAGACTGCAGTCCATCTGCTAGACTACTGGTGTGCACAGCTGAGTGCAGTAGCTTATTTCACCGTCTGCAAACCAATCTGGCACAGTTGGCCTATGAAATCTTGCTTAAGATTAGCTTGTATCAAGCTAATGAATATCTCAAATCTTGTTTTGCCTTTGATTTTTTGGCGAGTTTTGTTAGGCTAAAACATCACCAGAAGGACTGGGTATAAGAGGTGATAGTTTAAATTCCTGTATCTGGTAACATGAAGAGCTTTTAGGTTTGTGGGACAGACTTTTTCCAATCATCACACCTTAATTAAAGTTTATGAATACCAACTAGTATGATTTCTTTGAAAAGGGAGGTCTGTTATAGCTCAAAAGGAGATAATCCCAAGAGGACAGCCATAATAGTCAAAGTCTAATACTTTCTGAAAGGTGGGTGGCTAAAAGAGAAACGTGCCTGCAGGAATGTTGTGTGGTTTGTGAAATTGCAAAAGGTCCTCCCAATTGCTCACAGACAAAAGGCTCCTGAGCATCTCTACTAAGATCTCTTTTTGTCTGTTCTATTACTGGGAATGATCTGAACCTCTTGGTACAAATGTTTTTCAATATAAGCTATAAAAGTATGTGTACAGTGCTATTGTACGTGTTGCATGTGCATATTGCTATTATGAGTCTTAAATTGTGGAAATTGATATGCTATTCTTCTTTCTAGAGTGTATTTACTGTCAACATGTAAGAGAGAATTGACCTAGATATTGTGACTCAAAGAATGGTTGGCATTATTAGAAGTATACTCAAGGGTCTCATTGATGTACCTTTTTGCAAGTACAGAATGAACTCAAATGCAAAATTGGTAAAGCCAGTAGTTTTTGCTGCCTTCTGATACTTAACATTTGTCAAGAAAGCTGGACTATTTTGATTAGCCTCCTTAGCTCTGTAGCATTTCATCCTTATAGGATGCTTTCTGAATGAAACTTCAAGAAAATAGAACTAAGTGTTTTACAATCCATCTGAATGTGTGACTAATTTTTATTTTCCTTGGTTTCATACATGGAGCGTTGATAATGGTTGCAAAATAGTCATTGCCTTCTTAATTTTCTTCTGTAGTGCTACAAAACACAGATGGAAAGGTGCCCTGCTTTTGACATGATTTGTGAATTGGGATGTATGTATTCTGTAGCTGGTTTAGAAGAGTTTAAGGCTGGTAGACATCAGAAGATTGAAAAAGGATGTTAGCTTCTAACTTCAAGAGACAAATAGAGATTTCAAGTGACTTGCTGGGGAAAAAAAAATTCAAATATGGGGAGCCAACAACAATTGTACTTTATGAAAATAGAGAGGGAGTCATCTGGAGACAGCCGATTAAAAACTTAGCAAACACAATTAATGATTGCTCTTCATGTTTCGGCATTTAAAAAACTAACTGTAGTGGTATTGGAGCACATAGGGTAGAAATTCATGCAGCTTTCCCCTTGTGGCAAAGAAATGTGTTAAATGTTAAAATTTCTAATTTTACTAGAAAAAGGAACTTAAGATGGGATGTGATTTTTTTTTTTTTTTCTTCGATGTTAAATGTTAAATGTTAAATGTTAAATGTTAAATGTTAAAAAATGTTATTTCTAATTTTACTAGAAAAAGGAACTTAAGATGGGATGTGTTTTTTTTTTTTTTTTCTTCGAAGATCTCTGCTGTTCACTGTTTTAGCTTTTGGCAGTATGAGTTATTTTCATTGTGTAGTATATTGCAGTCAAAATCAGAAATTGCAGAATAACTGATTTTTATGTAAATTTTACTTTGTTAGCATTTGGTTAACTGAGATCATGGGACTGGGTTATTGTTGATTGGTAATTTGATGAAGGATTGTGGCTTTGCCTTTATGTGCCAGTTTGGAACTGTATTTGCAGTATAAAGTTATAAAATTATTGTAGCTTGTGCTGCCCTTAATGTTGCGGTAGTCGTCTTTTACTTTAAGATAAAATAACCGTAATCATAGGTTATGTTAAAGACTTCTGCAAAAATGAGGTTTAAAACTTTTTTACCCTCCCCCCACTGAAAGAAACAATGAAAGAACCTATTCTGCAAATAGTGTGCCTCTTAGCTCAAAGTATTGTGAACCTTAGGTGCAGTCGTGTGGCTAGTGTTATGTGCCCAGCAGCTGACATGATCCCTGCCTGTTGTTACGTACATTTTAGCTGCCAGTTGTATCCGTTAAAAATGTTACTGTGGTGTTGATTAGGTGGCTCTGTAAAACTGACTGAATGCAATGATTATAGGGAATTAGGTACTTGGGTTTGATTTAATTTGAGCAGGTCCTCTTTGCACAGGATTCTAGCTCATGTGGCACTACTAGGACCTCAGCATCAAGAAGCAGCAGCAGCTTTTTCTTAGGGGATTACTAATACCAAGCTTTTGTTCATTTTTAAAACTGCTGGGGGATATAGCCTTACTGAAATGAGAAACTGTAAAAGAAATGCTTAATTTTGGTAGTGTTATTGTTGTTGACTTCTGTATCCTTGACTGAATAGTGACTAGATCTGCCTGTCCTAGAGTCTCAGAACTTCTTGTTTTATTAAAGAAATGTGTAAGTTTTGGACAAGAGAAAAATCTTGCCAAGCACAACTTTTTAGTGGTCCCGGTTTTCACTGGGTCAGCTATTGCCAAACTGCAGATTCGTGGGCTCCCTTAAGCACCTGTCTGCCTTCTTAAAGGCAGCTTGGCTGTCATTTGCAGTTGAGCTCTGCTCCTGCCCAAACTCTGTAAGCTTTACATATCTGCAGTTAGGATCTACGTGCAAAGTGACTTGGATGCTTACAGACATGTGGCTTGCTTGCAGCTTTACCTGGTGACAAACTTCCAGGGATGACTTCAAGCAGGTGTTCTCTCATCTAATAGGAGAACACCACTGAACTGGTAGGATTTGCAAGTGATGCTCTGCCTGCAGTGACCTGATCCCCCAGCAGAGTTACCGAACCTGGTTGCGAGCAGAGCAGTAGGGGAGAACCCTGCTGAAGCATTGCCTGCCAATTGTGAGGCTTCCCACTACTGAACTATTGCAACTGTTGAGGGGGAGGTTCATGAATTTGTTTCCTATCAGTAAAAAAACCCTTAGATCATCTATCTAAAGGCAGGAATTTGTGTAAGAATTTATACCTCCCATGTTTCCTTTTTGTTCTTTTATTCCATATTACATTTTGAGGTGATTTTTCCACGTTGGTTTTGGTCACTTTTCTGACAAGTGGAGGATGTTTATCATAAAATACTTCCCTAAATGTGTATGAGCAGCTGAGCTGGGTCTGAAGATTCTGCTAATAATGCCTACTGAGAAACTGTCCCCCTTCCCCCCCCCAATTGCAATAGGAATAAAAAGGGCAGAATGTTTCTTACAGACTGCACTACATTTGCTTTTCTGTGATGTGACATACTTTAGTATCAGATTTCCCTTTTCATCGGGTGCGTATGAAGGACAGGTTTCTGTCAGGCTCATTAGGAAGAAACAACGCTTCTGCAGAGCAGAAATCTCTTTCATCCGGAGTACAGTGATCTACTCATCTTTGTATGGGCACTCTCCACGTTAGCTTCTGCACTTGGCAAAGCCTCCAGTTTATCTGCTGTAGACTATATGTGGGCACTTTTTTTCTGAAGCCCTGGCCTGCAGAGAAAAAAAATTACAATAAACTTGCCTTTGAGGTTTTGGTCTGAAGAAAGGTACGCCTTTGTGTACACTCGTGTCGCTTGCAATGATGGCTGACTTGTTTGTACTCTTCCACTGTTTGCTGTGTAGGCTTACTGAATCTGCACTTGTTTTTTGTTAACTAGTGATCCATTAGTCATGGTTCCTACTTAAAAAATACTTTGAAAAATATTCTCTGCATTTAACGATAGATACCCAGGCCTCCATTTTGTGTTAAGATGCCCACTGAGTAGTTTTTGTTTCTTGGTATTCTTTCTCCAAAACTGCAGTTGAGAGAGCTTGAATGTGTAGTCTACTCACTAGCTGCCAAATAAGGTCTTTCAAAACTATGTTGTGTTTTCTCTTAAATGAAGACACTGAGAGCAGATCACTTTCTGGGAAAGTATTTTGTTAGGTAGTCTCCCTCTTCACCCTCTCTCCCCCTTTTTGTGGATATTTTCATAAAATAGTTCTGTGCATCAACAGAGACTCTTAAGTAGTAGGGAAGCACAAAAGGACTGTCCCATGTGGATAAATTTCAAATATTTGAGTCAAATTTGATTTGATAAGGTCTGCTGATATGTGATTCAACTTGTGTTTAAGCACTGTAAGGGAACAGTTTAACTACACTTCATCATAATCAGTGCTGCTCATTTGAATATGAAGAAAGCTTTGTTTAGATGGATTTGGCCTGAATGCTAGTAATTAGTGTAGATGTCAACTAATGTGCCAAAGCTCTTTTTTAGACCATAAAATACAATAACATGGAGTTTGACTTATAAATTCCTCAGTAGGCTTGAAAACCTGTTTTTTCTTTATAGTATCACTTTCCAATACTTATTTAAATAGCTTTGTCTAAAAGATGCCTTCTACAGATCAAATCTTGCAAGCCACTACAATGACTATAAATGTCCTTGAAAAATTAGTGAAGTACAGACACAACAGTGTAAAATCAAAAGAACTGTGCTCATATAGGACTTCTGATGAGCTGACAAGTCACCATAGTGAAGAGATGAAAGAGCAAGGGAATTAAAGTGTTAAGTGCTTCAGTGGTGGTGTCTTCCTCTCTTTCCCCCCCCTCACGTTTTGTGGTAGGACGGAAAGAAGTTGTAGGCAGTAGTTTTTTTATAATAGTTGGAAACTTTTGAATAGAAGTTATTCTAATTGGTTGTTCATGATGAAGCCATAGCAATTTGCCTCGGCTAGAGCAGAGTGGGGGAGACTTTCAGGTCATAAATGATGAGTGAGTGGTCATAAGTGATGAGTCACTAGGTGAGTGGCTGGGAGACAAATTTGAACATACTACAAAATACAGCATTTTTTTGCAGGACTTCTAGCCAAAAACCCTGACAGTTTCTTTGGGGGCTTACAAAGTCCCAACTGATAAAATATGCGTAATGTTTAAAAGGTGTATGCATTTCTGTGTATGGGAAACAAGTAGCACCTTAAACGTGGCATTCAGACCTGCATGACTTCTTTTCAATAGGGCTGGCTACTCAAAAGAGTGCTTAATGTGGCCAGTTGTCCTCTCTAACCAGACAGACAAAAGCTGTTTCTAGTTCATGTAAATTATCAGTTACAACAGGTGTTACTTGAAATCTCATTTGTGCCATGTGTGTCTCTACGGCATATGGTTTTGGCACTTGAGAAAAGACTAAATGGGTTTTTCAGCTTTCCTTCCTGTTTTGTTTTTGCATCAGCTTTTTTAAACATGCCTGGACCAAGTGTATGGCAGACCACAGTAGAATTGGATGGCCTTTTTGCTGAAGTGGAACTCAAGATCATATCTGAAGGAAAGAATTCCCTGTCTTCCAAGGTGGAAGTGGATTGCTAGAAACTAGCTGATGGTCTCTCTTCAGTCTGATACCAGGACAGTTGGTAGTGATTGAGTTGTTGACTCTAATAGCAATTGGTGTATATGACATTAGTGTTAGTATTGGAGTTTTTGGGGCATTTGTTAAATACCCTATAAAGACTAAATCCTAATTGCTAATTCAATTTATCTTTCCCGAGTAGTTTTTAATATCTCTGTGTGTAGCTTGTGTGATAAAAATTTAAGATTGAATCTGTTGATTAGTATACCAGTGTTTGGGTATTACTGATAATAGAGAAAATATCTTGCCTCAGAACTCTGCCAGGAGGCCAAAAGATCAAATACATTTCCTTTTCCAGCCACCTCTTAGGCTAATTTAATTCTGTCAGCTGAAGGATGGTAAAGACTGAAGTCTTGTGTGACTCAGGGAGGGAGAACCCTTTTGTACATGCATATGTCTGCTGGTCTTTCAGCCATTCTTTTGTAGAACGTGGATGGCTGTTGATTTAGAGTAATAGTATGCTAAATTTGACCATGAAGGACTACTGAAAACATAATACATCTCAGGTGCATTCATTTTGATCATGTTCTTATGCTAACATCAGGATTATTTTGTTATTACAGATACGCAAGCCTCTATTTCTGCTGTGCTATTGAAGATCAGGACAATGAACTAATAACTCTGGAAATAATTCATCGTTATGTAGAACTTCTTGACAAGTATTTTGGCAGTGTGAGTTAGTAATTTCTTTTTAATTTTTATGGATTCAGTCTCTTTATTATGTCATTTTATGTCCATAGCACTTCTAAAAAACATAATCAACTAGTTGTTGAAGAGGTGCATCTAACACATTCTATGTTGCTTGCTTGGCAAACTAAACTGATGGTTGCCTATATAACTGTTAAAATACAAAATTAAATTATTAATTTGGGAGAAGAACTTACTAATCTGGTGTTAATTACTGATATTTATTTCATTTCATAGTAGTCTCACTTCAGGTCAGATAAAATCTTACCTTAGCTTTCTGTCTAGGTGCCCAGCTCTCCTGGCACTGCTTTAGTGTGTGAGCACTTCTTACATCTGCTTCCAAAGGAGGCAGTTGGTTGTGCGCTAGCAGGAGCTGTAAGGAAAGAAGACAGACATCTGCTTACCCAGATAGCAAACACAAATAACTGTAGTAATGTACATTAGCACTCTTAGAAAAACTGCCGCTCATCCTTCTGCCTTCCTAGTCCTTCTGACTAAGAAATGCACGGAATGAATAAGAAATTTGAGATGATTGTGTTTTCACATTTTTCTGTAAGATTGCATGATCTGCCTTTGGATACTGCAGGCAGGAAGAGAACTTTTATAGGGATACTCTCTTGCCTCGTGAAGAGCCATATCATACTGATGGTTGTGAATTGAACCCCTTTTAACAATGAAAACATTTTTCCAAGAGGTTGCTGTAACTGTTCTTAACTCAAGCAAAAAAAAAAAAGATTTTTTTCATTTTTTCTCAAAGGACTGATTTTTTTGTTTTCCTGTTTCTTAAAAGGTTATAGTGTGAGGCTAACATCTTGATTTGGTGAAGTCTGGTGAAGCTGTGAACAAGTTGTGTTGTGAGAAGGGTATACCTCAATAGATAGTATCCTCCCACTTTGCAATAATGCTTGATGTTTTTTTCAGGTATGTGAACTTGATATCATCTTCAATTTTGAGAAAGCCTATTTCATTCTGGATGAGTTCCTTTTAGGAGGAGAAGTTCAGGAGACTTCCAAGAAAAATGTTCTCAAAGCCATTGAACAGGCAGATCTTTTACAGGAGGTAAGCAAATTCAACTTCTCTGGCCAAAGTATCAGCATGGTAGGCTGTGACTCAAAAAAGCTCCTGTTTCTCTAAGCTTACAGAAGGTGCTTTTTAGCATGCTTAGCATGTAGTTTCTAGGTAGTTGTCCTAATTGTGCAATAAGATGATATTATCTGCTCTTTTCATTTTGTTTGGCATGTGTATACTGTAACCTACTGTGATTTTGTGTTTTGCTAGACATGCAAGTGGCTGTTTTATGTGTATACCTAGATAACTTAGTTTTGTTCATGTCTTTCATTTCTTCTTTTTATTAATCAACCATTAGTTTTTTTGTCGTACCTGATGCATGTTCACTTCTTTACTGTTCCGTTGCTGAAATCCAGAAGCTAGACTCTCTTCTTTGAGACTCATTCAGGTATAGTTCTTATTCTAAAGACCTGCCTTTCTGCTATAGGTTGCTTACTCTGGAACATGTCTGTCTTTTAGGTTGACAAAGCAGTAATAGTAGTGCCATAGAAACGTACGGAATGAAGTGTAATAACATTTGTTTTTTCACTTTGAATGCTTTTGTTGTTCTTTACTAGCTTTGAAGAAAGACAGACAGATTGCATCTCTACCATTTTTCTTTGGAAAGCATTTGATGGGAAGGGGTTCAATGGTATAGAAAAACTTAGTATTGTTTCCCCATGTTTCTCCATCCTATGCTGTTTTTTTTTTTGGGGGGGGGGGCGTGTTTGGTTGGGTTTTTTTACTAAATTGCATTAGTCTTGAGGTCAGTGTTAAGGTCCTTGAATGTCTAAATGGAAGTAAAAAAATGATGATTCCCCCAGCACACCAGAAGTCTTGTGTGCAAGTCAGTGGAACATACGGTTTAACAGGGATGATGAACCTTAATTTTTTTAAATGTACTGAGGTTCACTGGTAAGATTCAGTATAAATGTAAGCTCCTGTATTTTTTCCCCCTCATGTGAACCTTCAATTTGTTATTTCATCCTGTGAGTTAATTGCTTAATTCTCTTATAAGCATTCTGTGTTCCACTTGGTACTCTTTTTTTGTTGAATGTGGTATTAATAGGATGGGGAAACACATAATATTCTTTACCCTTGTAGTTGTGTTTGTAATCCTTTCACAGTACAGACAAATCCACAGCACATTGAAGTTCTTGTCTGTGAACAGCTAGTTAGTGTCATGAACAGGGTCAGCCATTACACCCAGATTTGCTACCTGATTTTTCTAGGGAGGACATACATGCACTTATTTACTGCTTGTGTTCTGATGCAGTTTTTGTTGAGCCCTTCTTTACTCTTAGAAGGAATTATCTTAACTAGAAGTCCTGTTGCAGTTTACAAAGCAGGGGTGTGTGGTGTATGTAATCTGTTTATTCTCTTTAAAATCTTTTGCTTTTCTTTATATGAAAACAGATACAACAGATTATTTATCTATTCCAGTCTGTCTCCTGCAAATGCGCAGTTAATTATATATAAAATAGAATTACTGTATATTTTTCTCATTCTTACTGGTTTTGAATTTTATTTTCACCATTTTCTTATGGCTCTTCTAAAGCAAAAATGCATTCTGTCTCTAGGAATTAATTACTGATTTTCTATCCAAACAATTAGCATTCTCTTTTTACACTTAATATAATTTCAAATTAAAAATTTTACGCAAAAGGAAGTATCACTTTTTCAATGGGAGGCCCTTGCCCTGAAAGCTTTGCTCTGATTACCCTTCCTTTCCCCATCTCTGAGACTTTCTGTTCTGTCAAGGTTTATTAGATCTTTTCTGATTAAATTGGAATGTAACAGTTTATCACAGCACAACTGTAGTCTTAAGTTTGATTTTTTGTTTTTCATTCTTAGTTATATTGACCGTTGATCAAGTATAAAAGTACTCTGTATATCTGATTTTTAGTTTATAAAGCCCATAAAAGTCTGAGTTCATATTTAAATTGAGGTTCCAATAAAGTTGGACTCTTTCTGCAGAGGTTTGTTTTTGTATCAACTGCTGCTATGTGCATGCTGAGTTTGATGAAGAGGGTTGTTAAAATAATAGTTTGTCACAACTGGAGACTTTTCAGTACTTTCAGTTAATTTCTGCTTCCCAGAATACTTCAAAGCTACCTGAATGAAATGTGGTTTGATTCCAAATGCAAACCATTTCTAGCAGGATTGTTGTGTGTTTGTTTTTGACGATGTCAGATTTTAATTATGTGCAACAAAAGGACTTTTATTCGGCCCTGAATACTGATATTGCCTAATTTAAAAATTATTAATCAGTGTTGAATACACATTATTAATTAGTAACACTTACATACATTAATATATGAAGCACCTTAAAGAGGAAAAGCTGTACAGAATGCTTACACAAAGGAAAATCACTACAGATACATTAAGTGGCTATTTGTGGGATGTTAAAAGAAAAGATGCAGAGGCATAAATGGCTGAATAGTGAATTAGTTCTTAATAGCCTTGCCTACTTCTATTTTCTGTGGCAGTTTTCCAGGAGGTACTTCTGTTTCTGAGCACCTGCTTCAGTTTGTCATTGTTTTTGGTGCTGTGCAGTCCACTTACTAACTTTCTAGAGTTTGTGTGACTGAAACATACTAACTTTTTAAGCCTTTTTCACCTTCACTTTCTTGTTAGCTCTTCAATAATGTGCTCAGTTCAAATATTCATTCTCTAACAGTCGGTGTGTCCCCCCTGTTTATTACCACCTGGTAACTTACCAGTAGTCAGTCATCAATACTGGCTGTGTTATCTATATGAATGGTAGTAAAACCTAACTATTCCAGTGCTTCCATGCTTCCTTGTAAATCTATTGCTAGAAATACTTCTGTTCAAAAGAATGCTGTCATGTGTCTTGTTTGATAATTTTATATCTTGTTTGCTATAGAAATTTTAAATACTTAACTAGTGATTACAAAGGCATGTGTTTCTGAAAATGTGTATTTTTGCTTGTGTGAACGGAGAGAAGAAAATTGGTTGATGCAGTATGTTGTTGCATGAGTTATATACATGTGGTGTGTGGAACAGCTAAAAGATAATCCTGTGCATGATTTCATGATACTTAATGCATGAAACTAGTGACAAAACATGTTCTATGCAAAACAGGGTCTGATTTTTTTCACTTAAGTCTGTGTTTTTACTTGACGATCCAAGTAATTCAGTATGGTGCTTGGAAGTTCATGGTCATTTACTGTGCTAAAACACTAAAATCAAGGAGTTAATTCTAGTATCTAAAACAAGCAGTTATGTGTATATTTAAAAGCAAAACTATACAGACTTGCTCATCTTCATTTGAAGTAGAGGAAAGTTCCTAAACATTGGCTTTAAGTGAAAATTCTTTGTTACTCATCCTATGTAATTTTTATAAAAAGTATTTTGGAAATTATCCCCATTTTGTCCACCACTATTCTTTTGCAGGGAGTGTATGTATTCTTTTAGTAGTTGATTACAGAACATCTAAAATACTTAAAAATACATATTTTTTTAAGAGGTTTCTCAATAAAAAGGCCAGTGGATCTATCGACAGATCACAGTTGTTTCATCACTATTTTAGTAATGATAAAAAATGTAAAAGCTGTGTGAATGTTTTTTCTTAGGCTCTTGCAGTTTGGCCTCAGGTACTATTTACTAGTCCTTCCACATGAAGAATAATAGATATGCTATCAATTAACTGTATTTCCTTTGCTATTTCAAGCCCTCACCTCATCCTGTATCCAGAAGGATGCGTGAATTGTTAATGTCAGTTGACTTGTGCTAGATGCTTAGGGTTGCTATGTAGATTTAAGCTTTTAGTTTTAGAATGAGCATCTTCGACTGGAAATGAAAATTTGGTGAATTTCCTGCATATGCCATAAAATTTTTTCTTGGAAATGAAATGTGCTAACTGCAAACTGTAGTTTTGAAGGTATGCATAATTGTGGAGAGATGGTATTAGCTTGTCCTTGAGATATGACAAAATAAAGGAATGTTAGCATTAGCAATGACAAAAGAAAATTCCTGATACTTAAGCCTGGAGTGGGTGGGAGTATAAGGGTTTTTGTCTGGTTTAGGAAACAGGCTTTGTAAGCACCTGTTTCTTACTAGTCTCCTGAGAAACTTACCATAATTAATGCAATTAATTCAGTCTTCACTTAATGTCAGCTCTTAAATATAGACTGCTGAAATACACTGCCTTCTAAGTTGGCAGTGACATTATTTGCCTCGGCTACACCTGTATTCCTCTCAATGTGAAACAAGAATGAATAATGAAATCTTTATTATAATGGAGATCTGACTGCCTTGATTGCTGTCTGTTCTTCATATGTAACTTCTGGCTCAGTTTCAGGTAGTCAGCTTGGTTGGTCAGTTTGAGACTGCAGTTCTTAAGACATGTATGTGCTTGATTTTAGGCACAGATAATGATCTGTAATTACCTTTTAGAAGATATGAGAATTACCATGAATGAGAAAGGGGTATGTTGTCAGTTCATTATTTAAGGATTAGGAAATAGCTACGATCTTTGTGGATTTGGAATCTCTCCCAGCTCGCAGAAGATACAGTAATATGCTTCACTTCGGAAGAATTTATTTGCACCTTGTCTTAGAAAAATTTGTTTATTCGTTGTTCAGTTATGGTGTGGGTTATTCTTGTGGTCATAAAAACTACACTACTTAAGTTCGGCATTCACAGGATGCAGAGCAAGGAGATACTGAAGTTACAAAGTGTTTGATTGTGTGGAACTGTGCAAGTGTGGCATTTCCAAAGGTGTCAGTTAAAGTTCCAAGCCTTGTCATGCTATCATCTATTCTTTGTGTATGTTTTAATTATTTTGCTCTTTGAAGTATTCTGTTCAAGTAAAAAGTGACTTAAAATCTTTGTAGAACTGCATTTCTGGCTTCATATATATATTTGTTTATGGCTATCTTGCTTGTCATTGGCTGTACTATAGACTTGAATTCATAAAATTGCTGATAAAACCTGCCAACAGTTTTTTAAGAAGTCATCATAGCTTCATAAATATCTAATATAAATTC